AGCGGATGACGCAGTCGCAGCGGATGGGGTTGCCGTGAAGGCCCACCTCCTGCAGGTTGGGCAGCGACTCCACCGTCTGCCGGTGCAAGGCACTGAGCGCGTTGTTGTTGAGCATGAGGGTCTCCATCTGGGGCAGGTGGTGGAAGGCGCGGGGGTGGATGAAGGACAGCCGCGGGTTGTTGGTGATGTCCAGCTTGGTCAGCTCGGGGAGGTTGACCAGGGCGAACTTGTCGATGGAAACCAGCTCTTCCATGTTGTTCAGCCCCAGCTCCTTGAGGTGCAGCATGTTGGCGAAGTCCCCGGGCCCCACCCGCTGCAGCGGGTTCTTGTTCAGGTCCAGGAACTTGAGGCCGGGCACCCGCTCCAGCGCCCGCCGGGGCACCCGGACCAGCTGGTTGTCATAGAAGGAGAGGCTCTCCAGGCTCCGCAGCCCCTCCAGGGCGTGGCTGGAGATCTCCCGCAGGCTCATGCCGGCCAGCACCAGGCTGCGCAGGTTGGCCAGGGGCCGGAAGTTCATGTCCAGGATGGCGTCTACCTTGTTGCCCCCGATCATGAGGATCTCCAGGCTGGGCAGCATCTCGAACCAGCGGCTGTCCACGGCCCGCAGCAGGTTGGAGTTGAGGTGCAGCCGCAGCAGGTTGCCCAGGCCGGCGAAGGCCCGGGGGGCGATGCGGCGCAGCTGGTTGTGGTTGAGATAGAGCTCCTGCAGGCTGGCCAGCCCCGCAAAGCTGTGGTCCTCCAGGCGGGTCAGCTGGTTCTCCTCCAGGTGCAGGCTCAGCAGCTGGGGCAGGGCCCGGAAGTCGCAGTCCCGGGCGTCGGAGAAGCTGTTCTGGGACAGGTCCAGCTCCGTGAGGTTGGCCAGGTAGCCGAGCTCGCTGCGGTCCACGCGGACGATGCCGTTGCTCTGCAGCAGCAGGGTCTGCGTGCCCGCGGGCAGCGCCGGGGGCACGGTCGTCAGGAACAGGTCATTGCAGTCCACGGTGGTGGCCTCGCGGTAGGACGAGCGGGGCGTATACCAGGGCCGGATCTGGCAGGCACACTGAGGGGGGCAGGGCACCCGCCAGGGGACCACGGGCACGGCGGCAGAGGCACCAGCCACCCATGCTAGCAAGAAGGGGGCCACGAGGAGCCTCATGGTGGAGCCGCAGGGGAGAGGACCATCCACGGGGAACAAATGTCTCAAGTCCCGCCCTTAGCGGTTGGCAGGCTGAGGGTCAGCAGCCTGCCAGGGCCTGGGGAGCCCCACTCCCAGGGCGGTCATGGGGGGCAGCGGGGCATCACTCCTCGCCCTCCTGGGTGCGGCTTCCCATCCTTGTCCGCTGGGCCTGCTCACTCATCGCCGTGCCCAGCCGGCAGCCCTGGAGAAGAGGAGGCGGTGTTAAGCAGGCGGAGAGCAGCAGGATCCATCCCTCCTCCCGCTCCCTTGTCTGACTCAAGAGGCGCAGAGAGCTGAGCGGCTGGGTCTCCTGGGTCCTGTCCGTATCTTAGGCTTTAGTGTCCTTTTCTAGGACCTGAGGCGGGAAGTGGGTGACTGGGAGGCTTCAGGGCAGGAGGAAGAGATTGGGCCTTAGAAGCTTCCAGGAGACTCGGGAAAGGGGTGTGTGTGTGTGTGTGTGTGTGTGTGTGTGGAGGAGAGGGGATGGCTGCGATCATTGTCATCTTCAGAGTCCTCTGAGCCCAGAGAGATGTGGAGTGGATTCTCCAAGCGTTCTCCTCTCTCTCCATCCGCCTCCCTGGCTCCCTCAGTAAATGGAAAATAAAGTGAGAGTTTGTAGATGTCCCTCTGAGTGCTCTGGGCAGAGGATGGTGCGGCTTCTGCCTTCCAGGGTGGGCTCCCAGTGGCTCCTGATCCTACCCCAGACTGTCTGGGGAAGGGAACGGTCCTGCCTGGGGTCTGCTTACTCCTCCCGGGCAGGGTGCAGCATGGGCTTTTGCCAACGTCCTTACCTGGAGGCAGGGGTTTCCCTTCCCAACAGCCTGGCCAAGTTGCCAGGTGCTGGGATTAAGAAGTCCAATCTGAGCTCCTTAGCACTGCAGGTAAGACCTTCTGTGACCCGCCCCAGCCACTTCTCCTGGCTCCTCTGGCTGCCACCCCACTTACCCTCCGTGCACAACCTACAGGCTGAAGTTACCCTGACATGTCCCCCTTCTCGCATCTCCTTTCTATTGTCTCCCAGGCAACCTCTACTTGGTCCTCAAGACTCCCCTTAAGGCGAGTCTCCTCCTCCAGAACGCCCCCCCCCCGCCCCCCAACAGCACGTGGAAATGTCTCCCAATCTAGGGGAGTCCACGTCATTAGTCTTGCTCGTCACTGTGCTCGTAGCACAGGGCAGGTGCCCAGTGAGTGTTTCCTGTATGAATCAACCACGGGGGCTCAGGGGCCCTTCCCCCAGGAGGTCAGGCCTCATCCCCACCACAAACTAGAATTCAAGCCCTTGCTGTTTCCTCCCTCCCAACCTGGGAGACCAGTCCCCGTTCTCAGCCCCCACAGCCAGGCGGCATCAGCCTGAAGAAAGTCCAGCCTTGGCCCAGAACCGCGGTGGGGAGACAGGGGCCTTCCTGGGCCTGGCTGACTCCGTCGGGGAGGTCTGATTTGGGGAGTCTTCCACCTGCAGGCAGTGGGGAGGTGCACATGCTCACTGAATGCTGCAGTTTGCCAGGACTCTTCAAAGACTCTGAAGGTCTCTTTCTGATTTAACCTTCACAATTAGTCTACAGGGCAAGCATTAATACCTCCAGTTTGCAGATGAAGACACCGAAGTTCGGAAGAGGTTAAAGAATTTGGCTGGCAAGGGACAGGAGCTAGGAATCTCCCCATGCCCAGAGCTTGTGCCAGTTGCACCACACTTCTTGGTTCCCAGGTCTGGCCAGAGCCTACCCTGGGCACCCCGGGGTGCACTGGTGGCTGCAGCAGCAGGGTGGGTGCCCATTCTTGTCTCCTTTCTCACTAGGGAGCTTTGGGAAGCGGGGAGCTGTGTCTCCTACCACCTTTCAGACGGGTGCCGCTCAGCTGGCCAGAGGAGCTCTTTGCCCACTTCATCCAGCGTCCAGAACCCTGGGCTGGCAGGACAGCCGTGGGAGGCCTGGTGCCCTCCCTGAGCAGGAGAGCGGCACACCTGTCTACATCAGACGACCTCCCTCCCACCTTCTTTTGCAGCCACCTCATGCATTTTGTCATGGTTGTTTTTTCCAACCATGACTTATGTGGGCACTGACCCATAAAACTCAGGGCAAACAAACACATGTGCACACATGCACGTGCACCTGCATACATGTGCCAGGGGAGCCCGGGGGCCCGGACACCCGAGCCATGCCTGGTGGCCGGGAACAGGGGAAGGGGTTCGGCGGCACACTCTGTGGGTGGAGAGGCAGCAGGGACAGCTGGGCTCCCGAAGGGCCTTGACATGGAACTGGGTCCAAGGCCAGAAGTTCCGCTTCCTCCCTAGACCTGGCCCGAGGATCAGACCCCACCAGCGCGGAGATCTTGCTGTTCTGCACCCACCACCTCCTACCAGAGCCCCGTGGGAGCAGTTATGGACTTCTTGGAGCGCCTGTTCCTTACGGATAAGTGAGGTTGTCATTAGGGCTAAGGGAACTTTGTTGCACA